ATAACACAACTTGACAATGGACAGAGAGTACCGGGGAGAAGTGAAGATAGAGAGACAGGCACGGGAAGAGTTCACGTGGAGGTGGATTGCACTCGCCTGGTTTGAAGCGCTGTATTGATTCGTCAAAGACCAAGAGCGTATAAAAGCCTGTGGAATACCTAAGAGTGATTTTATGTTATATGAGGGGGTTTGTGAGTGTGTGTGTGTGTGTGTGCACTGTGTTTAATCAGGTTTAGAGGCAGTGGGATAAGACAAGGTAGGAAGAGAGTTAAAATAATCCTCTGACATGTCAAGGTGGCCTGGATGTGAAGCTCAGAGTGATTACAAATGAAATCATTAACTCCCCTCTCACCGCAGGAAGAAAGTCATTAAGACACACACGCTTCACTTAGCTTGTTCTGAGTGCGTCTCTGCATGTGTGTGTGTGTGTGTGTGTGTGAGTTGGAGAGATAAAAAAGAATGAAAGGCAGAATGTGATGGAGGTAGGAGTGTATCTTGAGAGATTTCCCTGATCCACTGTCACATTAAAGAAAAGTTGTTGCCGTTAATTACGAGAGGATGCTCGTTCTTTGTGGCGGAGCCGGATGACACAGTTGAAAATGTAATTATGACATCAAAAGGGATATATCAACATGTACCGCAGTGTTGCAAATCAAATGCAGAAATCACATTAAAGTACATCAAGTCAGACTAAACTCAGCAGCTCGCCCCGCTCGGCTATGCACTCGGCTCGCTTGGAGTTAAAGTCGGACAGCAGAAATTTGTAGGAGGATGTTATAATGCGATTCCACTTGAACTTGATACATGACCCATGCTGAATTAGTTGTGTATCCCTCCGTGGCCATGCCGCTCTGTTGAGATGTTGTATAATCAGTCTGGTGTGGTTATGGGCACAGACAGTGTGCTGCACAGACTGTAAATCCCTTTCATGCAAATCTGAGCCATAAAGTCTGCTTCATGAAGTGTAACTATATACTGTAAATAAAATTGAATTAGCCCATCAATCAAATGTGCACCGGTTTGCCTTGTGTGTGCTTCCCGGCCGATAAGTGCGCTATGCTTTGCCTGCTACATGTGTTAGCCTTGTAAGTAGTTGGGAATAGCCAGTTTTGCATATTTGGATAAGATGACAATTCCTTGCATCATTGACTCCAGAAGAGATTAATTATCAGTGTTCACATCAGTTCTTAAAAATAAGTAAAAGGGCGTAACTATTCCAACTGTCCCCTCCTTGTCCCCTCCTTGCCCCCTCCGCGCCCACCGAGCTGGGATATAAGCAATTAAGCGTCCCCTCCCATCACTCCTTCCCCAGAGAGCAGATGCAGGGGAGTGGGGGGGTGGAGGTTAGGCTTTAAGGGATGATGGAGGATTGTGGATGAGAGTGAAAAAGAAAGGATTGGTATAGGAAGGGATGAGCTCGTGGCTCCCCGTGTCACACAAACAGATGAAGAATGAGAAAGGTCATTTCCACACACCAAAAGCGCAAACACACACACACACACGGACACGCACGGGGGTTTTGTGTCATACTAATGATGATCATTACTCACTTGAGCTGAAGGGCAGAGGAGAGCCGGACAGCGGGGTACCATTTACTGAGATCTGCCCTCCGCATGTGGTGATCCCAGAGGAACTTTAAAAAAAAAAAACAAACATGCCCCGAACAAATTAACACTGCAAATAGAAACACAAGGAATTCATGTAATGAAGAAAACAACTTCTCTCCATCACCTGAATGAAACTACATCTGCTGGAAACCCATTTCACTTACCCAGACTTAGGGCATTTTTTTTTACACTATGGCTGACAGTACGCAGCAGGAATAAATTCTAATGGGGATTAAAAGCAAATCTGCACCTGTCAGAGCAGCTTCCCGTCTGTCTGTCTGTCTGCCTGCCTGCCATGGTGGATAGTGTGTGTATATGTGTGTGTGTTTGTGTGGCGGTCTGTGATCCTCCTATGTGTACATATGGATGTGCTGTCACTTTGAAGTTGGTTTCTCAGTACGCATGTGCTTTTCTGCTGACTTCTGGAAATATGATTTTGTGTGTTGGCTTGCACAAATGTGTTTTCTCCTGTGAGTGACATAGATACAGCACTCCTGCTACTTTGAGGCTGGTCCAGAGCTGGGTTTGCAGATAGTTTGACTGACAGGAGTTCAGGGAACGGGGAGGAGGAGGGGGAATGATGTGCCATACTGCTGCTGCTGCTGCTAAACAAACTCTGGGCATACAGCTGCTGCAAGTCAGAAACATTTATCCCATCAGACATTATAATCCCAAGAAACCATTTGCATCACATACAAAGACGGAGCTCACATTGCACTGGTCCGTAGCTTTAAGTAGAAAGATTCTCTGCATCTTTAAGAATGCTATTGTTTTCATTTACTCTCGTTTGTTTTAAAGAATATATTACACAGTGGGGCTGCAGGGTGGTGATGCACTGTTGCCTCGCAGCGAGAAGGTTGCCGGTTCGCATCCCGGTGGGGGCACCGGAATCTTTCTGCGTGGAGTTTGCATGTTCTCCCCGTGCAGCGTGGGTTCTCTCCGGGTTCTCCGGCTTCCTCCCACACAGTCCAAAAACATGTTGAGGTTAATTGGTGATTCTAAATTGTCCGTAGGTGTGAATGTGAGTGTGCTTGGTTGTCTGTCTCAAAGTGTAGCCCTGCGATAGACTGGTGACCTGTCCAGGGTGTCCCCTGCCTTCACCCTAAGTCGGCTGGGATAGACTCCAGCCCCCCCACGACCCTAGTGAGGATTAAGTGGTGTATAGATAATGGATGGATATTACACAGTTTGAACCTGGCTCATCGTCCAAGGTCTAAACTCAGATTGATTCTTTCTTCCACTGTTCACATGTGAATAAAATACAGTACAATGCAAAATTTGAAAAAAAAATGGTACATTTCATAAAAGTTATACAAGTAAAGAAGAGCAGCCACAGGATCTGAAAGCAGCAAAATAACAGAAAGTGCCAAAACCACAGGTATATAGTGATATCAACACTGTAAATGTAAGCACCTATTTGTGCCCAGAGTTTCATATTCATGTTTTGAATCGTGCCTCTTAAACTCAATGTGATGGACAACATTACGACTAGTTTCGGTTCAGAAATAACGTACATTGACATTATTCCGGGCGTGAACCCAAATGTGGGAAATGCCAGAGGGTAGCTGGCTGTGGCACCGAACAAGACTGTGATCGTGGGACTGTGTTCAGTACAACTTGATATAACTTGAAGAGAGTCCCTGGATGTTTCCGGACAAACTCTGAGCCTTTGGAAACACTCGCTAAACACAGAACGACCATCAAAATGCAGAAAATAAAACAAGAGTTCAGAATTCTGTTTCCCTGTCAGTGGAATTAAAACCGAGTCTTCACAGGAGTCTGTGATAAACACGTCTTTTCGCATGAGAGCGGACCTTTTAGCTCGGAGTCTGTGAAAATGCCAGGAGAAAGCAGCAAACAACTGCAGCTGTGAGGCAAGTTGGCTGGAGTTTATTAATGAGTGGGAAAGCAGAGCAGTGATACAGTATCCAGCAAGGCCAGCGCTTAGATAATGCTACGCAGATGGGTCAGGATGAGCTTAGCATATTAACATGTTATGCAACTCCAAGTGCTGCGATTGTCTTCGGGCCCTGCGCATGTGGGTGTTACAGTTCTTTGCTACTGTATAACTTGACTCACTTTTTCCATATGTTGTCATCAGTGAAGCTGTTGGGAGGCAGGGCGTGTTTGTATTTTCGCCTAAATATGCAAGATGCTCCGTGTGTGTGTGTGTGTGTGTGATGGATGTTTATGCGTGTTGTGATGTTTTCAGTAACAGTTTTGTTGAGGGAATAAGCCGGCAAGAGGGTGTCCCCTGTGGGGCGGCTGCATCTCGCCTTTTTTTTTTCCCCCATCTTTTCCCGGTTTTGGGTGGTGGCTGGCAAAGATAAGACACCTACAAAGTAAACACTGCTGCAGACTACATTCACCATCTCTGCTGCAATGCATTCATACGCATACAAAATAAACATGCACAAACACACAAAATGTGGAAATGCAGTGCAAATGCTGTCCTGAATGGATGGATGGATGGTCCGGGCACACTGCTGATGCGCCCGACTTTCTGCTGTCAGATTCTTGGCAGAACTGGGGCCTCATTTATAAACATTGTTTACACATAAACTAGTTGTAGAAATGTTTGTGGCCGCAGAAAATCTGGAATTTTTTGACAACAAGCTCAAAATGTGTGCATCCCTCAATGGAAAGACAACCGTGGACTGCAGCATAGTGAGTTAAAAGTTAAAGCCTGGACTACATCTGTTCGGTCTAATGCAATCCAGCGAAACAACCTTAAATATTCGTTCTGAGCTTAAAATTTTCTAGACTTTGTGTCGTTCTTGGGGCTATCGGATCGGTTTCTACCTCTCCTCCGCAAGGAAGTAACTGGGATTGATCAAACATTAGAACATTAGCATATGTTTTAGATCCATAGTCTGCTTGAGCTGTTTCCATCTGTTTTGGTTGTTTGCGACTGCCTCGTTCAGACTTCAGCAGTTCTTCCACCTGTTTTTCTCTGAGACCCGGAGACTGCCAACCTGCCTGTCAGTCTGCTGACCCGTCTATCTGCTTGACTGCCTGCATCTGCCTGTTATCTTTATCTGTAAATCCTCACTTGGAGCAGTATATACTGCACCCCGAGGCGGTGTCGATTCTCTGACATCCCCCAGAGGGACGCGCTCGCAAACTTGCGCGTTAGCATGCAGCACAAAAGAGTTAAAGAATAAGAAAAACTGTGTAGAAATAGTTAATTTTTTATCGAAGAGTACACGCAGCAGTTTAGTTAATGGCTATGACTTTTTTTTTTTTTTTTTCCTCTCACCCTGTTTATAATGAGCAGCAGAGCAGCAGCAGCACAGAATGATAAATTAGAGAATATGACGTAATAAAATAACAGTGTAAATGAGCTGAAAGCACTTTGTCCTGTGTTTAAACTCATTCTCTATTTGTTTTCAGGCTACTTCCTGGAGTTGCTGAACCAGTCAACGATTAACCTACAGGAGACTTTCACCACAACTTGGGGCTCTCTATACGCCCAGAATTCCCAAGTTTTTACTGACCTGTACACGGATTTGAGGCATTACTACCGAGGCTCCAATGTCAACCTGGAAGAGGTGCTCAATGACTTCTGGGCCAGGCTGCTGGAGAAGCTCTTCTACCAGGCAAACAAGCAATATTTCATAGGTACATCCAGCACATTTGTACATCAAGTAGCTAATTCATGGGCTAATAGTGTATTTGTTTGTTTTTTTCTCTGTAGTGCTGCACAGAATGTAGATTTCAGGTTCTATTAAAGCTAAATCTATTCATCATTTCTCGACTTGGATCAAGATTTGAACGAATGTGTTTGTCGATAACAGGTGAGGACTACCTGGAGTGCGTGTCTAAGCAGATAGAGACACTACGGCCTTTCGGAGACACGCCCCGCTCGATGAAGATGATGGTCACGCGCACCTTCGTGGCGGCGCGCTCGTTCGTTCAGGGACTGGTGATCAGTGGGGAGGTTGTTCGCAAAGTGTCCCAGGTACACCTCACTTCTTTTCCCCCCTCGCCGTCTGTTCTTCTTAAAATTATAGTCCTGTTTTCCTGCTTGCCACACTCATTAGTTCTATTTACTTGCTTCTTTGAAAGCTACTAACTGCCTTACTTCTTTTTTTTTTTTTCTGGTGTCTAATCTGTTGCAAAGCTAATATTCTCTGCACCCTCTGCATGTTCATTGGTATTCTTGTGCTAAGGGGTATGTATTCATCTCTCCTTAGTGATCACCATTCCTTCCCCCTCTGTGCGAACACACACGTACACACACACACACGCCTGTTTTTACCAGTCCAGGCGCATAGCATAAAGCAGTGGCAGATCAATGTTGGTAGAAACGATAGGCTCCATAAAGTATGGCCCGCGGCTCCGACAATCAGCCCCTGCAACAACAGTTAATGTCAGCTCCACACTGAAAAATGTCTCCCTGGGCTGCGGGGAGGGTTAATATCTCCCAAGAGAAATGGCCCCCTCTGTGTATAAGACAAGAGTAAGGTTAAGATCAGAGCAAGACTGAGAAATCATTTCAGGGAGGTGGCCGGTATTGATGCCCCTGTGAAAAATATCTGCTGTCAGACACCGGGCAAGGACAGTGGCGAGAGCCGAGGCCCCGTGAGAAATACGCACATGCTCAGAGAAAACAGATGCTGCGCCAGATATGAATATTACAATTATTTCTTTGATGAGATATTACAAGGTCGTGCTGTGTGTAATCACGGAAAGACGAAGGGCAAGAGAGGAGGGGGAAGAAAAAAAAAAAATAGTTTCACCGAGACATGACTGCAAGGCCTCACATTTGGATGCATGTTAATGAAAGAATCTATGTGATCCTTTTTTTCCCCCCTCCCTTTCACTCTGATGTTTGTGGTCCGGCTGGCGCTGTGGGTGGCACATACTGTATTATTTGCTCGCATCAGAGTGAGACAGCCCAGCCTAGCATATCTCTCATGTCTCCGGAAAATAAGTGCAATGTCTCACACCTACACAAAGAAGACCCGAGGATGCTTGAATTAAGTACCTGCATGCAGCAGAGCCCAGCGCATCCGCCCTCCTCGGAGGAGTAAAATCAGGCGCAACCATGAATGCAGGCCAGTCTCGCACAGCAGTTAGCAGATGAATAGCAAGCGACAGCATGACAGTGACGGCTAAAATAGCCTGACCTGAAACTAAGGGGGCCCGTGCAACTAGTCTAACACAGCCGGGGACACGACGGTTCTTCATGCAGTAAAACGGAGGACTCAGAGTAATCATGGACAACACACTAGGTTGAAATTGCTGTTGATGATTTGTGACACGTGAGTACCCTTCTCTGCCTGCAAGATGCTATTCTGGTAAGAATCTTTTTTGGACCGCCATTCACAGACACGCTGGAGTTCACGTGTGCTCCGGCGCTTAAAGGTACAGAAATGCACACGGACCTCATCGTTTCGCTCCGACTGTGATTTCCCTATTTTTCCCCACTGTTGCTCCCTCCCTGATGCACATTTCCTGACCGCTCCGTTGATGCCGAGGAACTTAAGTGAGTGATGTGTTCAGAAAACGAGGGCGGCTGGAGAAAACGTGTAAATAATTACCACAGCTTTTACCAAATTACAGAATGTCATCCCGGCGCTAATGCCAGGGCATTGGAGCTGCTGCATTCTGAATGAGGTCATGGGCTGCCTTCTGTGCTATTTAGGGAAGGAAAGAGCACGCTGTATTGTGAGAATAGTCACTACGGGCACACTTGATCAATCCCTTGGAAAATAGAATTTACAAGCTAGGACCATTGAGCAGGGCAAAAAAAAGACGGAAAGTCTGGCTTTTTTTTTTCTTTGAGTCGTTCAAGTCTGGGCCTGTTTGATAGAATTCGACTGAAAGTAGTTTAGACTTCAACCAACTGTTCAATCTCACGTTCGGAATTTGTTTGTCAGCCTCGTGTCGCCGTCTTCCCCATCACACAGTCACAACTGTGCTGTACTTTTTGCAGATTGGAACAGCGCTGTGCCGTGATGGGAACAAATGAGACAGTGAGAAAAAAAGCAAAAAGAGGAAGATAATAAAAAAAAAAAAAAAAGACTGACGGAATCCAGCATCCTCTCTCATCCCGGTCTCACTGCTCCCTCAATCTTTTATCCTCCCGCCGTGCGCAGTAAATTGTATTCCAATCATTTCTGTTGTTATATCTCAAAGCTGTACTCACTGCACTGTCCTCTGTCCCCGTTTAGTGTGAATAGCTTGCTGTACTAATTTGAATCTTAGCTTCCCCCCTCCTTTTCCATTGTAATACTATCTTCGATTGATCGGGCCCTAATGAGACAACCTCTCCTATAAATAACTATGTATTGCCACTTAAAGGGGCCAGTGACTGAAGATGTCTGCTGCATGCTGCTCAGGGTAGCACTGCTTGAGTGTAAAAGCAGAAGAAAATAAAACAAGATTCTCTGTTTGTATGCTCCAAATGTCTTCCACAGAAGTCCGTGTTTGGGAGGAAGGAAGATGACACGAGTCCTCGCTATGTGTTGGTTTGATTAGCTGTGAAATATTGGAGCTTGTAGTGAAAGGTGATGAAAGATTATCTTGTAAGGAGGCTGTGAAAAGAGCAAAGCAGAGCAGAGAGAAACCAAGATGCATGGCGAAATGAATAATTTGAGACATGTTTTTCCAAGACTGAAAAAGAGATCTCAGCAAGAAGATGCAGTCGTTCTTTCTCGTACAGTATTAATTCCTCCCCTTCGCTTTGCTCCAGGCTGCACCAGTTGCTATGTCCTTAACTTTTTCTGGACGGTCTTATTCCCTTGGGCATGGGAGTGGAGGAAGTAGGCCACGCGCCGCATAGCTCACTGTGGAGGCAGGGAGTCTGGATCGGCTCGCTCTGTAACACAAGGGGGAGAGGTCGCTCATATATCCTTACTAATTACAGAGGAAAGACAAGCAGAAAGACGATGAGAGAGAGAAAAGCGTCGATTGCCGTGAGCAATATGGAAGGTACGCACAGGTATGGGGACGCGTGCTGTGATGGTGAAGTAAGGACAAGTGAGAGTATGGGTGTAGAAAAAGGAGGCAAAGGAGGTATTTCAAACCTCCTTCCTATCTCGTGACAGGCCGCTATAGAGAGGATTGTAATCAGGTCAGTGTGTGTATATGTATGTGCTCTGTATCCCTATAAGTGCTGAAACAGTTATTTAACTCCTCAAGCCCTAGGCTGTTTTTTTAAATTCCCCCCTGAAAAAGCATCCCCAAATTCAGTCAATAACAACTGCACAACTGAAAGGCCAAAATGAACAGCCTTGGGCACAACGGATAACAGACACTTGGGACAATTTTGAAATACAATAAGTCTCCTTATCCTTATCAGTGGGCCAGAGTAGGAGGGAAAAAAGACTCCTGCAAAAACTGACATTCTCACTTCCACCTAATCAGAAACTGTCATTTAGAGAGTAAATAACTTCCTTATAACTACGAGTCAGTGACTCTGATGTTTTCGAATCTGTTCTAAAAGTTTTCAACTGCAGCTGAAACCGAACCTGTCGCGTTTCCGTATCAGATACGGTCTCGTCCAGGTACACGGACCTCCAG